GAACCGAAGCAACGGTACATGACTGCACCTCAGGCCAATGGCTGGTTTCACATCCATGCAAAAACTTCAAAATGGAATCAAAACGGGCCACACAATCATATGAGCTTTTGTATTTAGGGCCGTCACTCCACGCAAATCAGGAGGGAGCGAATGCTGGTACTAACGAGCTGCTGGCGCTTGGAGAAGGGCCCCGACTTGAGACTGTGGAGCAGTGTCAACTGCAAATGGCCTGCCACTGCCACTAACGTGGTCGCCTGTGCTATCATTTTTTCCGCAAAGCTCTGACACCCCGCTGAGTGAAACTCCTAGAAGCGGTTTGCCCAAAATGGATCTGGTGCTCTACTTCATGCCTTTCCGCTTTTGATCACATGTAGATGAGAGGTGATTGGAGATCTTTGTTCAATTGAAGGGACTTGGATGTCCACCTCCCTTTCCGGTCTGTGGTGGTATACAATGACATGCAGTACATATCGTATGAGGTAAGTATGAGGTGAAGGGGCTCGAGCAAAGCATAGTTACTGCAGAATAATGTTTCAGAATACTACAACCATGAAGTTCCTGTCCCGGTCTGCCACAGAGATTTCAATGCGAAGAGCAACCAAACATCTAGCCCCAGCAATGTCTATCGTTGATCCGGAATTCTTCGCGAAAACTGCCACGGAGTGACTCGTCCTCGCCAGCTCCTTTTTAATATCCTTTTACAGTATATATGTATATATCGCTACTAGGTTGGAGGCCATCGAGTAGGCTGGAGGCCATCGCTAGTAGGTTGGAGGCCATCGCTAGTAGTATAAATAATATGTGCATTTTGTATATATATATACATCTCTCTCTCTCTCTCTCTCTCCGTGTTTGACTCACTGACCTGCGTGTCCTCCAGAAGTCCTGCCTTCTCTGCTGGAGCAGGGGTTCTGCGGGCTTCTTTGGCCAGTGCACCCCAATTCTGCAGCACGATTGACAAGACCTCTGCGCAAGCTGAAGATCCAACAAATTCATCAAAAAAAGTCTGCCCACTCGGGTGGTCGAAAATGTCACTGAGACAGCCACTTCTGCCTGGACTTCTTGACCTCTTGCATCAGCTGTAGCCTCTGGGGGTCTGTGCTTGACTCCTTGTTGGGTTGCTTTGGAACATGTATCATCGAATATCATGCCACTACAGTAAGGCTACATAGGGCAGGCACCAGCTGCATGTTCTCGATGAACGCTGAGCTCAGGCAAACAAACTTCCACGCCTTGGCAAATACAATCTGATGCACTAACATCTACACACAACCAAGCACATCCGTCACATGCTGCAAAGGACTGCATCAGGTTGAGGCGGCAAAAACTGCTGTCACTGTTTGCACCGACTTCATGACCTTGAGATGTGAAAAGTGAAGCCACGCTACGCATCAATAAATGATGTTACTAGGCTCACCTTTGCAAATGGAGTTACAGTAGGTAACCTCTAGTAGTTTTCACAAATTAACCTCTACTGAATTTTATCATATCAAGCTTTATACTTTTGTGTGTTTCTAGTGGACAGGGGTGATAGCATCCAAAACTCATTCTTCATTCCCGCTGAGGCTAAAGGATACCTAAATTGTCGTAGCAAGCAGTGACGCTTTGAGGCCCTACCTTCAGCGCCCCAGCATAGCACACGGCTCGCCACGCGCAAAACAAGGAGGCCACCTTGGTGTGAAAATGCTTTTTTCATGTTTTTTTTCTATATATACAGTATATATATTAGACATGTCTTCCTTGTCTTTTTCATTTCTACTAGCAATGGCATCCAGCCTGATTTCTTGTTTGAGGAGCCTTTCAATGCCAAAGTTTACATCCATGCAGTTGGCTTGCCGATTGCTGCCAATTGTCTTGAGGACCCCGCGGACGGCCGCAACAACCAATCCATGCATCGGGCAATTTGGGACCCTGAGATAGTTGTTCCTGCCACAACTTGATCGGTTTTCTGAGACGCAAGTGTAGCGATAAAAAAAGGTAAGCAACAAGTAGGTGACTGGTCTGCATCAGTCTCAGGAACGAAACATACTTGCAAACAATGAGTATCCGATCAAAAGCCCAATCGGGGAACCAACTGTATCTGTATAAACCGGTGGAGAAAATGAAGCATTCGTTTCAAGTGAACAGCTCTCCGAAAACACAGACCTTGCCGCCATGCATGCCAGCAAACAGCCACTCGAAGACCTCTCAAACAACACTGGTTGAGTTGAGCAGTGTTGAACTTAAGCCGCACCGAACGAGTGGCATGACACAGCAGGTCGAGCACGAATGGGCAGCACAGCACTTTCAACCCTTCATTTTGGATCTTCAAGCTCAATCCTGGACGAATCATGATATCTGCTTGCTGATTTCAAGGTGTGGATTGTCAATGTTTTTGTGGATGATGGCATAGCTACCATCAACAATCTCCGTGGTGTATGTCCAGTCTTCAAAGGTTTTGCGCAGCTTGTCGTCGGCCAGAGGTGTGTGACATGCATCCTCCACCAGTTTGACTGGAATTGTTGAGCCAGAGTCCTTTCCATATTTTGCCATGCACATCTCATAAATCTGTGCCACTTGCCCATGCATCATCATCGGCACTCCATGCTTCTTGGCCAAGCCTTGCCCGAGCTCTATATCCTTTGCCATCATCTCCGCGGTGAAGTCCGGGAAGTAAGTCCCATCCATTACTCGTGCAAACTCGGTCTCCCAACAAAAAGAGTTGCCTGATGAAATCCGCATAGCATCAAAGAGCAGCTTGAGATCCACTCCACTTTTCTTTGCGATCATCATCACCTCACCCATGGCACAGTCCTGGACCGCACACAGCATGTTGGTCAAGATCTTCACAACGGTCTCATGGCCGAAGTCGCCACAGCGGATGATACGCGGTGCAGAAAGCGCAATCAATGGTTTCACCTGAATTCTCAGGTTGAGCTGCGTGATTTCAGCCAATGTCACTCAAAGTCCAACCAAGTATCTGGGGTGCTGAGGCATGCGGCATGCTGAGGCAAATTGAGGCCAGTGCTCGCTGAAAAGTCTCCTCATCTGCACCGACTAACGAGACCATTTTGCCAACTTTTAAGATTTGCATGCCTCCAGTCAAAGGAGCAGCCACAGCCTGACTGACTCGCTGCGAAACTGCTCTTTGGCATGCACTCGATGCACTCGACATTTCACGAATCATCTGTCAGGGACTCCAGCCTGTGCACCTCTTTTCTCTACTTCTGCCCGGATCTTTAAGGTGTTTTCAAAGTCCGTGGTCGAGTGCTCTATCCACACGGCATTTGGCTGCAAACCAGCAAGGATACCTCACAAAACGGAGAAAACCATTTCCAAATGTGTCGAAACAGCCTCTACTGCAGGCCCGTCTACCAGTTACTAGTGACAGTGGCAGCTTACGCTCATGCCGAACACATCGTAAAACTGAAAATGCAGGTGCGGCAAAGTAGTCTGCAAGCCCAAGTGAGTATATTATATATACATACATATATGAATATAGAATAATATAGATGATGGCTCCGGCGCGAGGACTTGGAAAGTTTGGTGGACCCCTGTGTCGTAGGAGGGCGCTTACGCAACACATAGGTTTGCCTTACGCACCCCACAGGTTTCTTCACGCGGCATGTGGGGGGAAGTGGGTGCTTACGCCACCCTTACGCAGCCAGACTTCGCAGACTTTTTGGCGAGTCCGCTGGGAATATGCTTACGCGACGTGCTTTGTACCACGGTGGGGTTCAAGAGTTGCTGCTTGCAGAAGCATCCTTTCTTCCCGCAGTGGCACGGACTCACGCAAGCGCACTTTCCACCGAGGCCGTGCAAAACCGCATGGCACAGCGACATCACAAATATCATTTGGCCACACGGTGTGCCACAGACTCGACACAACAATGCGCCACCAAGCCTCATGGACACTGCCAGGGGGCCACGGTCCAAGAACTTCTCCTCTATGGACCTGTTTTGTGTTGGCATATATGAGCAAAGGGAAAACTTTTCTGAAGTGCATATTTCCGGGCCACTGTTGGCAAAAGGCTTTGGGTTTGGGAGCCATGTGGGCTACTACTCACGGACGGTCCACGTAGTCAGTACTCAGCTAGCATCCTGACTCCTCGCGTTCGGGATTGCTTCGGGCGGATGAAGCCGCTTTGCCACCACATGGGGTGATGGCACCCAGGCGACCCTTGGGTTGGGCAGAAGAGGCAGTGGCGGTAGTTCGCCAGTGCCGATATAGTGGCGACCTCGACAGCTAGCAATGGAGCGCCGCAGTGGACGGTGGCCCATCGGGGTGAGTTGGTTCACCCGGCTCCATCAGGAGCCGACCCAAGGCCCCTGGGCGGAAGCAGGACAAGGTTGAGGTGTTTGTCAGAGGGATGCTCACTCTGGGTCTTGCGTTGTGCCGCTGCGAGCTGCCTGCTTCCACTGCTGTTCAGATGAGAGAGGGTTCTGCTCCTGTCATTTCGATGTGCCACAAGTGGGCCTGATCCAGCTCATGAGGTCTATTTCTGAATCGTCCATCTGGTCTGTGACCGCTCGAGACCTTGACCTTCTTGGTGGGCGATGCCCCTGCTGGTGCTGGCTGCTGGCGCAGGCTGCTGGTGCAGGGGCCACCGGGCCCGCCACAGGCTACCGGGTCCAGATCTGCCATCATCAGGGATTACATTGGCACTCTCCACATGTAAGCGACATGGACCTGGATCTCCATCGCTTGCAACTCCCGTTGGTTGGGGTCCGCCCCACCCCGAACAGCCCTCAAGTTGCGCAAGGTGGATGCTGTGGCAGCATTGCAAATAACGTTGGTGTTGCCACTCCTCCCAGAGCCTGGGCGACGGCATTCCAGACTTGTTCGCTGCCCGGATCCGGGCGACAGTGTCGAGACCAGCTAGGGTGGCAGCATCTGGTAAACCATGACCAGCCGTGAGGAAAAAGTGCAACCCATCCCAACGTAAGGCTGCAAAATCCGAAGGTCCAATGCATGCACGCAACGGACGAAACTCAGGGTCACGCAGTACCAGTACCAGCCGAGTCAAAAAATGCACCCAACCCAAGGCCACACACGAAGGCCACGAGCAGTAACGCTTCAAGAAACATGCGCCGATCTAACTCGCACTGGGGGTCTCTTGAAAGGTAATGTGATCAAAACACATTAGTCCAAATCCTCCCTAGACGCAATCACTCCTTACAGGTTTCACTGCACAAACGAGTTTGTTTCACAACATGCGGTACCCCCAACGCAACTCTACAGGAAAAAGACCCTTCGATAATGATTGCAAGCATGTCCAAAAAAGACATGAAATACTGCTAAGTTTCACAAGTGTGGGTGTATACACAAAATAAACTTTTCAAAAAGGAACATATTTTGGGGGGTATAGGCCACAAGCTCTACAGACTCCTGGAATTGCAAAGAGCAATCACGCGCAGAAATCATGTTTTCTCCAGTTTCCTCTCTGGTGCAGTTTCTTACTGCTATGAGAGACTCACTAACTTCTGCAGTGCAAACCCGCAGCAATGCAGGAAGGCTGGTATCTCCCCAGGCCCATCTCCAAACCGACCGAACAATTCAGCACATTGGAGCGCGGGAAAACTACTAAAGAAAAAACATAAACATATGTTGGTGTATATATTCAAGTATATTCCAATGCCAAGCTTTGAAAAGATCTACATATAAGAACTCTGGATCAGCCGATTGGGAATGGTTGAAACAATGCCAGCCACAAAGAGTCAGTGAGTCCGTGAGCTGAGTCAAATTAGCCACAGTCTCGCTATGGCATTCACTTCTTCTTCTTGTCTTTGAGTGTTTTCAACACAAGAATCTGGGCGGCACTCGCACTCTTGGCAAAGGATTCCGCCAAAGGCCCTTTCACATCCCCCACAGGCGTCCAAGCAACATCATCTGGCATTTCCTAGGCAAGGCAAGCAGCAAGACACAGTTGAGTTTGATCCATGGTCAGCCCAACACAACAAACCCAACACTCAAACAATGGCAACTTACAAACAAACACATAGATAATCATCAAAACAAAGTAACGCTGCTCTTCCGCTTGCGCGTCTGCGTGGCTTTGGCTTTGGCTGTCTTCCCATGCTTAACATCCTGAGTCTTGGCCTTGGCCTTGGACTTGGCCTTGGGTTGCGACTTGGATGAGTCCTTCTTGGGCTTGGGATCATTGGCTGTGTGCTTTTTGTTTGCCGACTTGGCCTTGGCTTTGGGCTGAGAAGCAGCTTTGCACTTGGCCGCAGCTTTAGCGTGTGCAGCCGCAGCCGCAGCCGCTTCTTTTGCATGCTCCAATGCCAATGCCTCTTCTGCAGCAGGTACATCATCCTCTGCGATAGTTTCGACCTCTGAGGAGCCCTCAGAGTCAGATAGACCAGGATCTGAAGTTGAAGGTTGTGGAACAGCTACGGGTTCAGGGGCACAAGTGACAATCACACTGGGTGTAGCGTTGCCGTTCTTGTCATCACCCGAAGCAGTGGTCCTTGACAACATCGATGGAATCACTTCGGCTGGTGCACCCTCAGTGAGCTCAGAAGGCTCTGGCCGAGAAGGCTCAGAAGGCTGACCAGCCTGACCAAGGACCTTCGGGTCATCAGTCTTGTCATCACCAGACTCAGAAGGCTTACCAGGACAAGGAAGAGCACTTGTCATTGGCTGAGGCGTTTGTCCGTTGGCTGAGCTGGCTGTATCATCATGAGCTCGATCATGTGATGGATCCTCCTGTGGTGACCCTGGGACATCAATCTCAACCACAGCCTCAGCCGGCCCAGCATCTCCACCATGATGTTCATCAACTTTGCTTTCAACCGGATTTGATTTCACCAACACAGACTCAGACTGTGGTGGTGGTGGTGTTGGCTTTGAGTTCTCCTCAGCGTGGTCAGGACATGAGGAGAGGCTTTGCACCTGATGAACCAACCCAACATCCATCAATGCTTGTGCCAGTGTGGTGTCGGTTTTGGCTTGCACACTGGCTTCTTGATCAGCATCATGTTCCTGCTGGTCGTACTCAAAGGCAGACATGTGGAATTCAGTCCATACAGAATACACGGGGGTCCTTTTTTGCCAATGCACCAGATGTCATACAGTGCTACGACACTAGGTCCTATTTATACAAAGCCAGTCTGCTTGGAAACAAACACAAATCAAAAAAGACAAATAAGCACACAAACTGACCGCTTGTTGATTGCAACCAAAAAACCACCGGGCTGCATGACCAAACAAGAACGACGTGTGTTGGTCCGACTGCTTCATAAGAGTCATGGGCACACGCAAAGCAAAGTTGTGCTCACCAAGAGCTTTCTCACACACCATGGAGCCATATGGTATGTAGAATATATCTCCTGGAAGTACATATGTCAGCCGCAAAGTTTTGAGTGTTTCCTCAGACAAAGTTGCGATGGGCAAAGTCAGCATTGCGGTAGCACTGTCCTGCGTGTGATTCAACATGTGATCATTTAACATATGTTTGTTTTGTTTTAGACTGAATCAACCAAGGTGTAATGTGTAACATATTTAGTATAACTAATAGTTGTTTGTTGTATTGCTGGTTTAAGAAGTTGATAGGTTGATATAGCAATGAACTAGCTAGTTGAAGTTGATATGATAAGTTTGAGTTTGATAAGTTGAAAGCTGGAGTGCCGTCTTCACTACCTTCTATGTCATCCAAAGGGTTTGTAGACTCTTCAGCCTGGCCTGTAGTAGCTTCTTGATACTGCCCATTGATTGATCATCATGGTCATTCTCCAGAACAGTTTGGTCAATCTGTGGCTCAATGAACTTGCACAAATCCAGTGAATCCATCGTTGCCACAAGCCTGTTGCCGGCCTTCTGGTAAAGGAGATACCCAAGACCTTCCGGAAGGTTGCCACAAAAGAAATCACCCTTGCGGAATGACGTCCAAACCATGTTACCAATCTTGCCCACAAACTTCTTGGCTGCGTCTTCTGAATACGCATTCTTGCCGGTGGCTTTTGTGACTATCCTGGGCACTGTGAACGTTGAAACCACCAATATTAATATCATTATTATATATTGCGATATATATATATGTATATATCAATGATGCATATGTACAGTATGAAATTGTATATCCAAGAAAACACACTCCAAGGAAGTAGTCAGTACTATGGAGGCTTCAATTTCAATACTCAAGAACAATAAGTGATGAATGAAAACACAACAACAATATAACTCATAAAATTGTTGAACTTCCAAAGCAAATCCTCATCTATGCCAAGGAACGCCTCTTGTAGATAGTCTCGTTTTGCAACAAGGGCATTGGGTTTCCGTGGGTTCGATTTCTCCGCTTCAACCGCTGCA